TATGCATATACATCACCTACAAATCCCTAATCTACTGTAAAACCTAGTTGCTTCTTCACTGTTTAAATTCAGTCGCTGACAAAGACAGAAGCCTAAAAGCTAGGGAGCTATGTTCAGGTTTTCACCACTACCCATCAGATGTATTAATTGCAGCTATTAATATCGCTCTTACAGAAGGAGATTCATAGCTGCATGTCCTGCTGGATGCATCTCTCTGCGAACCAGCTGTGTATATCATACAATGCATCGAAGAGAGAGTTTTCAAAATAAGCCAGAGAATATCATGAAAAAGAGCATATTTTCCTAGCTTGGTGGTTTAAGGCTGCTGAATTCCCAAATTTTGGTTACCGGCCAATAATGTTGCTTTATTCAATTTAATAGCATGTTGTAGAGTTTGCAAGCACATTTTGAAAAATGAGCTTTATAAAATATGCAATTCTCTCCACAATCCTATTACATCACTCGTGCATTAGGGGAAAGGCATCTTTCTAAATTGAAAAGGTTTTTAATGAATCATTGTTTTGTTTTAAGATCCCATTAGATTTGCTACAATCCTCATTTTTAGAAGTCCGTATTGTCCAAACCTTTTGCACTAGCGAAAAAAAAAATTATTTGCTATCCCTTGACCTCCATCATAGCAAAATCCTCAGTGCTGTAAACCAGGGATGGGGGTGGGGAGGTCTTGGGTATTTCCAAATCCGCACTACTGCTCAGCTATGTATTTGGAATTAAAACTCATACAACGTTTAAAAACTTGATGGAAAACTGTGACCTTCCAGCTTACCTATGACTGTAGTGGAAGACAGTGACCCTAGAAGAGCGTGATTTACTGGTGAAATAAAGTAAGCCATAAAACCTGGAAATAGGATGTGTTATTGTCAGTAAAAAGCATAAAGGAAAAAAAAAACCCCATAATTGCCAGCATAAGAAAATACAGAGAAGGAGAGAGGAAGATGGAGGGGAGAAAAGGAGCATCCCCAGTGGCAAAATGGTTAAAAGAGAAGAATAAAATCCAGTAAAAAATCAAGCAGTCAAGTAGTTAATTGACTTTGCTTTAATCAGCCCAATGAATATTCATTAGTGTGCTGGTCCTAATCATGGGGGCCATGTTGTCCGCATTTAGTAAGCGCACGCTTCGCATCATGCATGCCTCAACAGCTTCCCTTCCTGTCTGCACTGACATTAAATTTAGAGGCTTTACGCCTTCACTAGCTTGCAGTTAGCACTGATTGGCCCAGCTGCTCTACTTGAAAATGCCATAGCAACCCCTGGCTGGTTGCCTAGCAACATTTTTTTTCTTTTTTTCTTTTTTTTTTTTTTTTGCAAAGGCCTGAGCCAGTAATCCATAGGCTTAGTGTAGAAAATATGCCTTTGTGATTGTGTGCGTGCATGCGTGTGCGTGTGTATAGATATATAGATATATCATGTAAGAGAGAGGGAGAGAGATTGAATGGGTGGAAAGCATGCACATCTTCTCCTGTGTAACTCGACTCTCGTGAGTGCCTGATCGCCTTCCAATAGGATCAGGTGTTGTGATTTTTTCTTTTTTTTTAAATAGGTGCAAAATACACCCGTTGGCTAGCTATGCAGCTCATTTCCAAACCTCATCCAAAAGGAGGAGGAATTTACTTCTATCGACATTATCCCCAAGAGGGAGAAGAAGCTACTGCTTGAAGAGGGATAGGGCCAGATTATTCAGAGAGAACAAAGTCCTACCCCCTAAAGGAGGGGATCTGGAAATAACGCTGCGCCATAGATCGGTGGAGTCGGGCGGGCATGAAACTGGAGTCATGCAGTGGGGAGTCAGGCCCCTGGGCCGCGCGGCTTCCCTCTGCTTGTAAAGAGAACGAGGTCCCTGATAGGGACGGGTCACGCGCACCCGACGCCGATCCTGTTCCAGATACAGGTGGTGGAAGGAGTGCTCCCGATCCAGGGTTTTGGGTCGAGTCTTTATAGAAATGGGAGCGATCGGTCAAACCCAGGCCTGGACTTGAGTTCTGATTTCAAACACCATCGTGGCCCAGGATGCGGGATCGGATTCTGGCTTGGACCTTAAAACCCATTTTGTACCTCCGCCAAGGATTTGGGGGCTGGAAGCCTCCTAGCTGAATTAAACATAATCCTCATCGCTTTTATAGAGAGGAAGAGCCTGATCCTATGAAGGGCTGGCTTCCTTGGCACCAGGGAGTTGCAGAGGGAAATGGATAAAACGACTCTGGGGCCTGCAGACTAGAGGGCTGTATGAGAGCATTGTACAATTTGCGACGTACTTGGAGAGTGTGATGACAAGGGAACCCAGAAAGACAGAGTATTTTAGAGGGGCAGGCATTAGGTGCTTTCAAAATGCATGAGTCATGTCTTAATGGTTTTTTTCCCCTGCCTTCTGGACCTCAATTTAAAGCAGAAAAAGTGGCTGCAAGTCAAAAATTAGCTAAATAAAACAACCCTGAAAGAAGAATTGGCCACTAAGCACTTCTGTTGTATTATCCTGAATTATAAAAAGTGCCATTTCCAGCTCAGGCTCCACACACGTGATTTAATTCGGGCACTCAAAGCTTCTCTTTAATTATTGCAAGTGGGGGAAAAAAGGGACAGTTGTCCCCACCCAGGGCTCCTGACAGCCAGGCTTCGTGATACCCACTTCCCCATCGCTCAAAGAAACCTTTGGCTGGTGGGCTCCAGGCTTGGCTTCCTTCCAACCAGGTGCAAGAAGGAGCCCTACCTTCCCATGGCAAGGCCTAGCATTAGCATGGCACTGTTTAAATCTAGGGAGGTTTGAGATCTGGGTGATTTAAAAAACCATGGTAGCACATAGGGAAAGGGGCTGATTTACAGCTGGTTCCCTGCATGCTGAATTGCACAGAGGAGTAGAAATCGATGCAATCCAATGAAGCATTGGACTGGCTGAAGTCCTTAAGCAGACCCATTAGGTTACATTTTTTCTTGCACCTTCCCCTTGCCCTGGAAAGTTTTCACTGGTTTCTTACTAGGGTCTCACTACCTTAGAAGCACCGTCTCTTGGTTGGATTCTGCTGCTTTTACACAGGCAATGCTCTCTTTTACATCAGCAAGAGCTTGGCCGGAGGAAAAAAACCCACCCATGACCCTGGTGTGAAGGGCCAAGAGCCAGCACGCTCTATTTAAATGAAAGGAGCCTTGAGCTGCTTGGTTAATGCATAGGGGAATGGTGCAAAGGGTATTCTAGCCAACTCGGATTGAAGAAGAGTAATCAAATGTGGGAATAAGCAATTATTCCTCCGCATCTGAATCACCACATACCAAGACAAGGTATTGGCCTTGATCGGTCTGTCTAATGGACGGGTTGTGGCTTTTAAGTGAAAAAGGGAGCATCCTCCACCCGCAACCAGATGTCAGACATACAGATTAGATTTAAGGCCTCCCTGCCCAGAGCATCCACCTGGCTCCTGCTGTGCGGGCTCCAGTTTGTTGTAGAACATTTATGGTGAGGGGAAATAGGGTTTCTTTTTCATTATTTTTTTTTTCTTAGCAAAATCAATAGCAAATATGGTTGTAAAGAGAAATAAGTGGAGAAAGATGTCTTGTGAGACGCACATGTATCAAGTAGGCCAATTTTCCTTTAATCTATTGGAGAAAAGGTGCAGGAATGTTTTATCCCTGTGAAAATAGAGTCCTGCAACATGGCAAGGTTGCCAGAAAGCAAAGGGATCAGCAGGGTGACGGCAAGGCGTTCCTGGCTACAGCTGATAGCAAACAGAATAAAAATCAGGAATCCTGTTTTGTGATTCCGGATTTGAGAACAGATTTTTAATTCCTCCCCTACATTTCATTTCAATTAAATGAAAACGACAGCAGAAATATTTGGGGAATAAAACCCCCACCTTCTAAAAAAAAAAAATTCAAAGCCGTTATTTTTCCAAAAGAGAACAAAAAGCCTTACCCCCACCCCCAAATCCCCGCAAAACCGGTTTTGATGGAAATCATTCAAACAGCTCAAGTCACTAGCATTCTCATTAAAAAAAACCCCATACCCCACAGCATTATACATTTATTCGTTCTTGTGATCAGACTTTATTGATTAAAATTTCTGAATAGCCAACCTGGTTATAATTGCTAAACCCTTGAAGGGGTCCATTCAGCAGATACCATCCATTAAATCTGTGTGAGATATGTAGTGTTCAAGCATCCACACCGAGCTTAACATGACTGTCCTTTGGCCTTAATCACCCCGTTCTCGTGGCATCGTCCTGCCACCTTGCATTCATTGTGTGCTAATGTATGCAATGACTTTCAAGGATGGTTCAGCTATGAAAAGTCAGGCCCTGAGTCCTGTGAATCGATACAGGACCGAAAAAAAAGCAGGTTTAAGAATAAAAAAATGAAAACCACCAAGCTGAGTTCATGGGATCCTATTGCTCACCATGGGCTGAGAGTTGAGTCTTTTGTCACGTTTGTGTGTATTGAATATGTCCACAAATATTAGCAGAAATAACTGTGATCAGAAATGGTGTTTGCTACTGGAAATCTCTTCTTCATTAATGTCTTCTCTACATTGTTTCAATTATCCAGTCAGGGGACAGAAAAAAATACCACGTGATTTGGGAAATAGAGCGTGCAAGACAAATAAGAGGCTGTGAACAGTGAATAGGCAGCGCACAGTCCAGGGACAACCCTTAGCCTCAAATAATTCACCCTTAGGCTGAATGGTTATGAAGGGTACCGCGTGCCTGAAAGCTTGTCTGGGATCTCTCCCAACTGTACATTTGGTTAAAAAAAAAAAAAAAGATACCCCCTCCCCCCCAAAAAAACATCCCAATGAATGAAAAAATACATTTACGATTAATTCAGATTGAATGGTTTGCTTTTCTAACCAAAAAGCGGATCCATTTATAAGCGGATGGTTTTCATAAGACATGGGTCTCCTGCTCTAGTCCTAAGTAAAATAAAACCAAATGTTTATACATATCAGTAGGTTTAAGTGATGGATTTAATGTCATTTCCTACTTTGATTTGTCTTACAGTGTGTTTTGCTGGAGACTGAAACCCTGTGAAGCAGTCCCCGTGGTAGAGGGAAGGTAAGTGCTGGGCAGCTTTCACTGCAGTTTTATGTTGTTTGATAAATATAAGTCCCTTAAAGACATTTTAGCTTTGGAGTACTACAGCGCTGTGCTTGCCGATCCCATGGGTCAGCATTTGCTTTGATGCATACTTTCCCCTGAAGACACAGAGCCGTGGAAATATTTCCTTATCCAGGTACTTCCCTTCAAGGCAAATAGCTGCTAAACAGAGTGTAAATCTGATATTGCTACTACTTTATGATAAAGTTGCTTCCAAAGGTGCCTGGTACTGTTTTCTGGCAGGGAGCTGGAGGTCAAGGGATGGATCCAGCTGGGCGAGTTGCAAGACCTGCCGCTGGATCTTGCTCGTGTGGTCAGAAACATTTGCACACCGAGACAGGAGATGGGATGGGGGCAGAGGGATGGAGTGACAAAGGATGACCAGGAAGAAACAATGAAACAGTACCCTGAACAGTTTGGGTGATCAAAATCCTTCCTTTCATACATTTCCTCTTTACCGCACCCTGTTCTTCTGCCGCAAGGCATGAGTCAACCCAAAAAGTTGGGTGGGGAGGAGAGGGGAACAATAATGTCAGGAGAAAGGCGTCCATCCTCCAGACCGTGCAAATAAAAGGGCTGAACCGAGGAAAGAAGCAGGTGATTTCTGAAACTACAAATGCAACCAGCTACCAAAATTCAAACGCTACCTGAGCTGCAGGGTCATAATGCCCAGGAACATGGCAGCATTTTCTCTTTCCCCTCTGAGCTTGTAAATGTGGTAGCCACATCCGTCCCACCCATTGGCACCCTCCGTAGTGTCCGGAGATGGGCACGCAAGGTACCTCCTACCAAGCATCACCTGCCAGGCTCGGGAGAAGGCTGTGGTATGTTCTGACATTTTCCATAAAGCAGGGCTCACGGTTGGGTATTGCTGCTAATAATAGTGATGACAATTAGCAAGTGGGGTTCAGGCTGGGATGGAAGAATGGACCCATCTAGTCCATTATCCTTTCTATCAGCCATATGATGGCTTAAGTAAGAAGGCCAAAGGAAAACCTTGTTTCTTCTGCTTACCAAGTGTGGTGGTAATTTGGGGGCTTTGCATTTAACATTTTCTCTTCAAGAGGGATTTTTTTTCTTTTTGTTACTATAATGTGTGTGTGTGTGTGTGTGTGTGTGTGTGTGTGTGTGTGTGTGTGTATATATATATATAATTTAGAAATGAGGGGGCTTTGGGGGAGATTTTTCTTCTGGCTCTTATTTAATCAAAACCAAGCCTTCTCTTCACTGCTTTGTGCTTAAATTCATGATTGAATAAATTCTGCTGAATTAATTTGCCAAGCTATGACTATAAAACAATGACAAAGAAACCCCCACCAAACAACCGCCGCCACAAGCAACAAATATTTACGCCATGAAATGGAGGTTAGCTTTTCTGTTTAGCTGGGCTGGTTGACACAATGTGATTGGACCTAATGGCATATAAAAATGTGGGGGGGGGGACTCCAAAAAAACACCATGCCTGGGCTGGGAAGGGGAAGAGGAGGACAGGGTGATCTACATCTGCAGAAGCATTGATGCAGGAAGACATAAGTGCTGTGTTGTGTCTAGTTGCATCATGTGTGAATCCATCAGTGACTTAAAGAAATGGCAAACTCGAAGCAGCCTCCCGCCACTGCTTCTCCATCTCCAGTTACTGACCCACTGGTAATGCATGTTCTGTTTTACCTTTTCATGCCTTCAAGAAACCCTTTATGGGGAATCTAGATGATTTTTTTTTTTTTTAGTTGAAGCAAGAGCAGGAATGTCTGCAAACATTGGTTAAAAACTATCATCAAATCACTGGTACACTGCGCTATTCGTACTACTACTGCTGTACCACAATGACATGCAACTATCTTCTTGATAAAGTGCTTTCCAAAAGTCTGGTTACAATTACATTTACACAACAATAAGCTGCAGGGTGACACAGTATGCCAATGTGCATTTGCTTTGTGCCCAGCAATATCCTTTGAAAGACGAGGGTGACTTGCAGTACAGTAGTGTCTGCAGGTCCCAGGTGGCTAGGGGTTGTACAAACCTTTAGGAAGAGCTTGCAATCTCAACTGCTATGAGGATGCAGAGGCACAGAGAGAAGTAATTTGTCCAAGGTGACCATGTTGGGCAAGGTCTGAGGATAGGTCTAGTGCCAAGCTCAAGACTGAGACCCCCTACAGATTTTTTTTCTTTATAGAAAATGGGGTGATTACAATGAGACCAATCCCTTGTTCACTTCAGGGATGTTGTGTGATTTTTTTACCTTTCACATAAACATCCATGAGACGGGGGACAGAAGCGAGCTTGACTTGCCATCTCAACCAGATTATAGCAGCTTTACCCACATTAGTGTCTTGGATGTGAATCTGAGTGCCTGCATAGGACTTGAGTCCGTAACTCCATGAATTAGGGGAGAAACTATGTGACACTGGTGAAGTGATGCTTGACTTCCGCTTCCGTAGGACTTCTGCACCTAACCTTTGTACTGTATAGCCTCAGAAATATTGTCCCCAAGTACAATGCTCCCTCTTTTTTTTGCCATATAAGCAGATCTCAGTAAAACTGGGGATATATCCACAAAGCACCGGTCAGTTTGTGACTAAAGAAGCTGATCTCTGTCTCAGCCTGCTCAGGAATGAACCGTTCTACACCACGGCCTGATCTCTGCCTGAGAGGGAGAAGCTGATGCTAAGAAACTTTTGGGCAAAGTTACTGTTCTTGGCAGCATTGTCTTTTAAGTGAGAGTACTTTGTGGGAATCGTATCAAATTGCAGTGAGCAGCTGTTCCCAGCTGTGGGCAGCCATGTATTCTGGATAATATAATGCCCATCTGTCTCAGTTTCCAATGCAGTGGGTATTGCAAAATCTCCTTTTTGCCTCCAAAATGTACTGCAATCTGAATTAATCTGGGTGGCTTCCACATATCATCACACCAGTACCAAATTGGTTTCAAGTGTTATTCGGGAAGGCTTCCGATGGCAGTGACTCTTGATGACGGGATGGATAGCCCTAGTCCCTGCAGAAGTGTTTTGCAACAGCTAAGGCCAGCATGCCTTTGCCCAGTAACAATAGTAGGAACAGTACATTAACCGCCAAACAAGGGCGTTACAACAATATTAGGCATGCTTTGCACCACTGAACTTTATACTAATGCCCGAATAGCTAACAACTCTGGTAAAACAAGACTGAAACTAAAAAACTGTGCACCCCTACCACAGAGATACGACAGTGGTTACACATCCGCTTCATTGTGTTATCATTTGTGCACGCTAGTGTATTACTATAGAGGGACTGTTGTATTAGGAAAGGCTGCCATCAATGGTGGTAATTTGGTTTTGTCATGGTAATACAATGCCAATACACTGCCGACACAAAAGTAAGTTCTGCATGGCTTGGCAAAGAGATTTGCACAGAGCTGCCGGGCGAGCCTATCAGTTTCTCAATGTTCCTGAGCAGGAGTGGGTCAATGGGAATTTTAGGAAGGCAGATGCCCCTCGCTGGGTCTGTCTGACTATAAAGCGCTATACAAAACATGCAGTGTACATAGCATCATCAAGCTCCCAGTATAACTTGCCGATTCTTAAAATTGCACAGCAGGAACGGGGATTCTTTTAATCCATTGCATTTGTTGTGTAGCCTGACCAGAATAATCCGGTAGTGCCAACATGATCTTCAGCACTTGGACACAACTGCCTATTATCCCACTTGGAGCTGCAGGCTGTCAGAAGTATCCAATTGCTTGGACCAAAGAAAATAACTTGGGAAGGGTCCGTGGATACCATTTTGCTAAGTTTTGTTTTCAGTGACGTTGTTCTGGACTATGTTCTTCTTGATTCAGATCTGTCTTTGTATAAAACCTTCTGTACAGCATCAAACCAGTCCTTCTGCTAAGTGAGGATGGTCATTCATCCTTACCTCCTTTACTCTTCACTGCTATGGGAAGTGAAAAGCAAAGAGGGATGGAAGCAAGTCAGAAAGGTTTGAAGCTGCCTCTCAGGAGCTGGTCTCTTCCTTCTGTGCCATCTACTAACACACTGAGGCGGACCATCGGTTGTCATCCCTGCAAATCTGTCCCAATGTGCAAATGTGACCAGCTGAAGGACTCTCCCATCTGTCCAAACCTGCCTTCCAGAAGCAGCACAAGGGATGTGGGAAGAGAAGAAGTTTCATCAGTGAATCTCCAAGTCTTTTTCTCCGATCCATAACCTACATGGCCTTCTCTAGCACTGGTGTCAAGAGTTTATCTTGGACTGTGGAATATTGGATCTGGATTATTGCCCAAAAAGATTTAAAAAAAAAAAAGGCAGGTGAATCAAACTTGCCTAAACTCAGTTGCGTCAGCCTTCTCTGCAATTTTAAATGCAGTCCCCTTGACTTTAATTGCTTTAAGAAAAAGCAGAAAATATTCCTCAAAGCTGGATTTGTGGCATTTTTGTTCATCACATGTAGAGCCATCTCCCATTATGATATTGAGTCTCATCGCTGTTGCTAGCAAACTGGCAATAGTTTCTGATAATTATTTTAGTCTCCTTTCCGAGCCACCCACAGTCTCTCTACTGCTTCCGGCGGGTGCGGTGTTGAGCTGGAGGAGAAGGCGTTGCCTAAACCTCCATCCAGCCGTTCGCAAGCGAAGCATGGGTGCAAACCCTGACTTCCAACTCCTAGCCATGCAAATTGTCAAGTTGAAAGGACACGCACAAAAGCAAGAGCGGAGCAAGCAAAACTAAGCCTCCTGTGGTCTAGTGAGCTATGCACGTCCTCATTCTGCATTTCTCAAAGGAACACGTCTGTTGTAAAGTGTGCAATGGCCCTTCTTGAAACTTGAAGGGCTCGTGGAGCTTTTCAGAGCATCCTGCCACGAGCTGAAAACCTCAGCATCCTCCTTTTGGCATGGCAGAGTCGATAAAATCAGATCAAGGCTTAGCATTTCTAAACAAAAGGGAGTGGGAAATGGGCTTTTAAACACTGGAACCTGTCCAGCT